CACATCATCACGTACATCTCTTCTGTTCTGAAAGAATTGTATGTAGAACAAAATGAAATCTTTCAGGCGATTGTAGAAGAATATTTTGCTCTGGTTAGAGAAAATCTGTGATAAAACTTCCTGATTTGAGCAAAAAAACAACTTCAAATCTTATTTTTTACCCCTTAAAAGTTTGACAACTGTCCTTTTGAGCCATGTACGCACTTACTGTTTTCCACAGAGGATTATTCCATTTGTTGTTTTGAGTTTTGACACAATGAATGACAGCAAAAGAAGTCTATTTTCACAGTGCTGTTGGAGTAAATCACCTTCATCTGGAGGCTTGGCTTTAAMGAGGATCAAACACGTTCTTGTTTCAAAAGAAAGCTATTGATTTTCAGGTCGCTCCTTTGCTTTTTCCACACCAGACTCCACCTGAATCAAAAGGGGAAAAAATATTTTGTACACCTGCTTTCTGATGCTTGAACTCACACAGTGAGTAAAAACAGAGATTAATTTATTTGATTTGGATGAAGTTGTGCCTTTCAACGTGATTCAATAAAAGAGAAAAAAGATGGATGTTGTTTTAAACATTTTAAGCCATATATGAGATATTAAAGGTGTCAATGCTCACCTTTGAAACACATTATTAATAGTATAACCCGTAACTTGTTACACAGTTATATACAAATATTACAACACTGATGATAAAGTCCTATGACTTTCAATAGAGTATTTGGTACAACTTAGACCAAATTAGCAAAGAAAAAAGTTGCATAAAATCAGTGGCAATTAATGGGATTTTTGTGACACAGAAGAGAAAACTGGATGTAGCTCAGACATACGTCACAGCAGAAATCTTATTCAAAGTTTAAAAGGGTCACAGAATGTTAAATATTACACCACTTAAAAAGCTTTTTTTTTTATTTAGAAGTTTTATAATTTTGGAGATTTTTAAAGACTGTTGGTGCCAAACAATCCAGCTTTTGAAATGTTGGAAAAATTTCTAATCTTTTCTAAACAACCTTTTTTTTCTTCCTACAACTCTTATTGGCCCAAAATTAAAAYGTCAAGACGTAGAGATATTTGTCTTTTTTTCCTTCAGTTTTTCTCTGCTGTACAACACACAGAGAGCACAGACAGGCTTCCACAAACATTACTTAYATTTTACCTCAAATTTTCTTGGAAAAAATTAGAATGAAAGATCTTTTAGACTTGTCATATACATGAATCACTAGAAATATTAAAAGTTAGCTTGTGTGACCATATTATACATTGCAGTCTTCTGCTGCTCATGGTTTGAGAATTTTTAAATGTGTAGTTTGAGGCTTACTTTTCAGTCTGTTTGTCAGGGAGTGAGAGACACAGGTGTGAGGTTACCATAGGGATGATAAGCCACCAGCAACTTCCCCACTTTTTTTTATACTTCTTATATAGCTTATTCTTAAAAAAAAATAGACTTTTTTTGTTTAGATTTTTTCAAAGCTGTTCAGGAATTTTTGACAGTGTCTGCAGCGGACCTGTCATTTCTTCTGAAATGTTCTAGATGTTCTTGCCTCAGAACATTACGTTACCTCTGTTTGTCAGGATCAAACACAAAAAAACAGTTTTTAAATGTCCTGTGAAAAATGCTTAATAAATGGTGAGATTTTGGCAGGGACGCATCAGTCCTCTATGATGTGTGTTTTCCACTAATTACAAAAATATTCATCTGCAATGAAGGCATCTCAGGAGACGTGAGTGTGTGTACTTGTTTCTGCTACAGAGTGAGGACCGTCATATGGTTTTAAACCAACAAAGTGAGGACATTTCCCCAGTCCTSAATTTTAAAGTTCTACTGTGCTCTACTAGTTAGGTTTAGAGGTGTGGTGTGAATTAAGTTTAGGTTAAGATTAGGGTCAGGTTTAGACTAGTAAGGTTTAGGGTTAGGGGAAATGTCTGGGTTAGGCATAAATGCAATTACAAAAATGAATGGAAGTCAATGCAAAATCCTCTGATGCAAATACAAGGATGTGTATTTGTGTGTGTCTGTGTTACAGACAGCAGGATGGGTGGAGTGGGAGTGAGGCAGAGAAGAATTACAGTACATCTGTTTTGGGTCAGCAAAACTACTGAAGAGCCACACACACACACACACACACACACACACACACACACACACACACACACACACACACACACACACACACACNCACACACACACACACACACACACACACACACACACACACACACACAGAGGGAATGTTAATGCGGATGCAGATCAGCGGTTTTCAAAGTGCCTGAGGGTCTTTTCTCGCTCAGGAGTGGAGGCTGGACTGTGGAGTAACGCTGCCACTCAGTGGCTCCTTCAGATGCAGCGCAAGTGATGAGGGCAGGCCGTGCAAGGCACCACCTCAGTGTTAATGTATGAATATGGTACACTGTTTGTTGCATTTACAATCACAAATGATAATTAAGTGCTTCTGATTAAATCAAAGTAAGCAGAAAGAGCATCTGCTGCTAATTTTGTCCTTTACACTACTGCTGAGTGGCTGTGAAAAGTCATGTCTCAGTCTAAATATTTCATCAATGCTCTCAGTGAGACTCAGCCTGAGCTGACACAGTTATTTTAAMAGGGCTGTATAATGCTCATATATTATCTGGTTATATGAGCTGTGACAGCAGAGGTCCTCGAGGGACCAAAAAGCGGTGGAGCCTCCAGATCCCATTTTAAACCAGAACTCCAATCAAGTCTTGCAGAGAGACTGGCCGTTGCTAAAAAAACAAAACAAAACAAAAGAACTGCAGGTACTCTCTCTCATCTGTTATAGGATTTGTGATTCCTTCAGTCTTCAAGGATTTTCCTCCATAAAAGTAGAGATTTATAATTACATATTCATTTGGTTTTCCAGCTAAAACAGATCTTTTACTCGTACAAACTCCAATATTTTGTCATGAGTACAGTTAACAATAGGGAACAGGTGCAGACAAACACTAGTGTTTTTTATTATTTATTTACCATTTAATAAATAATTAATCATTTACTGACATAAACATCTGTTTAGGAGGTTGTAGATTGTGAACAGTTTCATCTATCTATTTACAAGTCTCTCTGCTTAAAAGTCTCTTCTTACAAGTTTCTGTCTACAAGTCTTTATCTTCAACTCTATATACAAGTCTTTATAAGTCTGTATCCACAAGTCTTTAGCTACAACTCTCCAAGTACTTATCTACATGTATTTACCCACAACTCTTTATCTACAAGTCTTTATCTACAAGTCTTTACCTGCAACTCTATCTACAAGTCTTTACTTACAACTCTATATACAACTCTTTATCTACAAGTCTTTACCTACAATTCTCTATCTACAAGTCTTTATAATTCCTTGTCTACAAGTCTTTACCTACAACTCTATTAACAAAACTTTATCTACAAGTCTTTACTCACAACTCTATCTACAACTCTCTATCTACAAGTCTTTATCTACAGGTCTTTACGTACAAGTCTTTACCTACTCTGTCTACAAGTCTTTATCTACAAGTCTCACAACTCTCTATCTGCAAGTCTTTATCTAAAAGTCTTTACCAACAAGTCTTTACCTACAACTCTCTATCTACAAGTTCTTATCTACAAGTCTTTACCTACAACTCTCTATCTACAAGTTCTTATCTACAAGTCTTTACCTACAACTCTTCATCTACAAGTTCTTATCTACAAGTCTTTACCTACAACTCTCTATCTACAAGTTCTTATCTACAAGTCTTTACCTACAACTCTCTATCTACATGTCTTTATCTACAAGTCTCTATCAGCATGTTTTTCATGGCTCTATCTACAAGTCTTTATTTACTGGGCCTTTTAAACTCAACTCGTTTATGTAGTAAAATCCTAAAAACTAATGAGCAGACTTATGGCAGCAGATGCTCCAGCCTGATTAGTGAAACTGTTTGTGTTCATCAAAGAGCTGCAGGACAATCCACTGAGAGTCTGCAGGCAACACAGAAGCATGGTTACAGATGTTTGACAGCTGTTGGGTGAAATAAAACAAACTAACCTTTAGGCTCGGGGAAAATGTAAAAACCTTAAAAATAGATARTCATTTCAAAATTTCAGCAGTGATTTCTCTCAAAACTTTGTTGTAAGTTGCATTATTACAAGAATAATTTAAAGTTATAGTTCATAAAAGTGACCTAACRTTTTATGTACACACATTTAATGTTTAAAAATATAAGCAAAATGCAGTTAGAAGACAATTTAAACATAATAGTTTTTAGTTTCAGTTTATTTAGGGATAATGATGAGCAGACTGAACTAATGTCTTTGTCCTCCGAGGCCAATGTATATTACATGTTGATGGTTCTGAAAGACAAAACCATTCACAGAGGGAATAATGGAGCTAATTTAACTGCAAATGCTTTTCAAATAAAATGTTTTAGTTTGCTGCTCAGCACAGCACATAAAAATGAAACTGTAGACATTTGGTCGGGTTGGAAGAAATCACAATAACTTGTGAACTAAAGAGTGTTTGTCCTCGAAAGTGTTTTTGATGTCTCAGTTTTTGGACCTCTTTTTGTTTTGATTTCATTTGCCTGCGTCCCCTCGTGCACGTTTCTCCATGTGTGTACTTGTGTGCTGTGATGTTCACTTAACATTTCTGGGCTCCATCACCTTCCAGCTTTAGTTTTCCTTCACTTGCTGCCAGCTTGTTGTTTCTGCCAGCCTGCTAACAACAGCCTTGGCCAACACAAGTTTGACTTCTGAAGTGTTCTGAGTTTGTAATGTTTTGTTTGTCTAATTCASACAGTTCAGTCTGCCTATGGGCTTCCAAACCCAAAACAATCAATCAGTCCTTGCTGCCTGGCTTCCACCATCCGTCTCTTTCCTCCAACCTGCATAAAATATCTGACAATTTGGATGATTCTGTAATCAACTGGGGTTCTTGAAACCCCCTGCACGATTGCAACAAACCACACAGAAACCTATGGTCTATTCAAATAGTTACAGTTATAAGAAAATAGATTCAGATTCACACAACAGCTCCAATTGTCCAATTTTAATACAATTCAGTCCAGCACTTCATCATAAACGCCTTACAAATGAAACACATAATTAAAAATCCATTTCGACAACAAAAAACATTTGAATAACTTGAAATCTAATTGGGTAATGTATTCACAAAAAGACATTAGAAAATATTTTATTTACACGTGTTATCTACAAACATAATGCAAGTAATGGTTTTAACCTGAAATCTAAACGTTATCATCATTTGTTGTGATGCCTACATTATCCACCAGGAGGCAGCAGAGTTGTTTAAAGTGGGGCCTGCTTCTCATTTTTGCCTTCAGTGAAAGTTTGAGTTATTAGCCGGTGGTCAAGGGTTAGAAATGTGAAAAAGACTTTATAGTAAAAAGAGTATATAAAACATCAAAAGCACATTGAARCCTGTAATAACAACATCCTGAGCTGCAGCTGACATTGGCACCGTGTTGGGAGAGTTGTAACAGTTTGTGAGGAGCCGGGAGAAACCTGAGCTTTTTAGAGGTTATTTACAGAAAAGKTGAAGAATGGGACTACTGGGATCTTTGTGTTTCCAGTTCTAGGATCAGGTGTTGTTCTTGCCCTGTGTGATGAAGTAAGACGTTAGGGTGCAGAGATAGCAGKTTGATAAAATATCTATAAATCAACATAAAACATAAAGTTAGAGCCACAGTGGACAGATTACTGATTAGATTAGGACAGATGATGGTGGTTTGGATGGACTGAAGGGACCGTCCGGTCAGGGGGGCAGTGACCGGGTGCTCACTGCACTGTTTTTCATCCAGGATGGTGATGATGGAGGTGGCCGAGTGAGGTGAGGCGATGAAGGGGACGAGCGGATTCGTCCACTCTGGTTGTCTCTCCGACTCCCAGAGTGCTCTGAGCCCGGAGCCAGATCTCTGTGCCGCTGAGGGGAGGCAGAGGAGCGCGTGGTGCATTTGTGCTGGGAGGAAGGCTGGGTGGGGGAATCACACCCAGGTGCTGAGTGACGGCTGGGCGACGGATGGCGACCAGGTGAGGAGCTCCTTCCAGACTCTGGTTTACTGTTTAAACATACGCTTTCCTTGGTTTGTTTTGGGGACTTGGGTGATTTAGGGATGACATGAGAGGTGGATGAGTGAGGGGGAGTGGCTTGGCTGAGAGARGCGGAGTCTCCGTTGTTGGCAACCTTGTAGAGGAAGACGTCATACTCAAGTGGTGGGCTGGTGTCCAAATGGAGCTTGGCCTCTTTGGGTAGGAGCACCTCCAGACCAATAGTGACTCCATCCTGATGTGGAAATACGTTGAGTAGAGAGGGATGCAACAATGCAGCACAGTTAAATAATAATCAAACAAAACTGCAGACAATTACWGGTGACGATCAGTTTTTAAAACAAGGTTTGAAACCAAAAGCAGATATAAAGATATAAAAATTTTAGACTTCTAATATTATAAATAGTTTTGGACAAGAATCTCAATACACTAAATAGAAAAAAGGATCTACTTTCATGTTGGCTGTTATAATGCTATTTTGTCTAAAATTGACTTGGATTTTATCTTTTTTTAGTCCSACTTCAGTGCTGTGAATGTCAGTAGTGACAACAGGAAGTAACAAAGATGCACAATAAAAAAATTACAGTTTTGAGTTAAAAATTAAACCTTTTTAGTGGTTTTATTGCAGTTAAGGGACCAATGTATCTTATAATAAAAAATGATTTGACTGAAATCAGTAGCCATGTCTTCAGGACAATTGCCTCTTCAGATTTTTGTTCAGTAAATGTGCTTAACAACTGCCAAGCTGATTTAAAATGAATATTTCAAACCAAAAAAATCCATTAGCTTGCTGAAACTTTTGTTTGAACTGAAGAAACTGTGCTGCAGGGTGTTAACAGCAGGTGGAGCTGCAGAGCTCCAAAAGTGTGACTGAGGCACAAAGCACTTAAATTATTAAAGGGATCCACGATTAGTTGTATCATTAAACTTTATTTGATAAACATTTATTTTAACTGTAAAATAAAGACTGTAAAAATACTGTAGGCTGTTTATTTTTTATAATTTTTAAAAATATATTTTAACATGGACGGAGCCATTTTATTCACACACAAAGCATTCTGGGTAAATGATGATGTGGATAGGTCCTCGGTGTGAGGCTGCTAGCAAGCTATAGCCACCCTGAAGGTTAATCTTGGACAATATCTGAAGATCGACTCTTTTAAATGAAACCAGAGAGTGTTGACAGAGAGGAGAAGGTAGAAATGACTCAGCCTGCAATTGAAAATATGGATGGAGGACAACAGAGCTGCTTCATGGAGGAAGAACCTCAGCTTAGCCTGTTAGCCTTTGTGCTAGCCCTCACGCTATATTGTCTTATATGTATTAGCTCAGCGCTAGCACAACAAACAAGCTAATCTGAGGTCCTCCATCCATATTTTCAGTTGCAGGCTGAGTCATTTTTGCGTTCCCCTCTCTGTCATGTGGATGGAGGACCTCAGTGACGAGAGGAGAATGTGTAGCGCTGAGCTAATAATACATACAGTATATATGGTGATAGTGTTGGGGCTAACGCTAAAGCTAACAGGCTAAGCTGAGGTTCTTCTTCCATGAAGCAGCTCTGTTGTCCTCCATCCATATTTTCAGTTACAGGTTGAGTCATTTCTACCTTCTCCTCTCTGTCAACACTCTCTGGTTTCATTTAAAAGAGTCGATCATCAGATATTGTCCAAGATTAACCTTCAGGGTGGATATAGCTCGCTAGTAGCCTCGCACTGAGGCCCTGGTTGATGTCATCATTTACCCAAAATGCTTTGTGTGTAAATAAAATGGCCTCATTCGTGTAATATATTTTTAAACTTTTAGTTTAAAACATTATAAAAACTGAACATCCTACAGTATTTTTACAGTCTTTATTTTACAGTTAAAATATATGTTTATCAAATAAAGTCTAATGTTACAACTAATCAGGGATCCCTTTAAGAAAAAACAAACAAAATGGTTTCAACTGTGAGAAAAATGAGAAGGGGGCTTTGTGAATCAATAAGCCAATAAAGGATAAACCAATAAGGAAATTGATAAGATTGTGTTCAATAACAACAAAATGAGATATTTCAACATTTTTGCTCATGAATAGATGGTATGGAAGTTCCTATTTGAGTCAGGAGCTGTCCGTGGTGCTGAATGGGATTGCAGTCTCTCTCTCTCTCTCTCTCTCTCTCTCTCTCTCTCTCTCTCTCTCTCTCTCTCTCTCTCTCTCGTAATCTGTGAGCGGCAGCCTCCTGTAGCACACAAAGCAGGGTCAGCCATGCATTCAGTTATTATTAGCATAAGGACAGTTGGGCAGTAGTGAGCTCCATCATGTGCAGACATGCAGAAGAAGAAAAAGCAGAGAAGAAGAGCAACTTTCTACAGGGAAAGTGGAGTTCATAGCAACACACAGGGACGAGCTTCATAAAATGAAAAAGATTTATTCCAACAACCGTCAAATGTAATCCTCCATGAATACGCAAAAAAGTAAAAAAGGAATATCAAGTACATTAAAGTATTGTAAAACACATTGAAAACCAAGACACATCGTGTTTAATATATGCTTATAGATTCAAATAACTCCAAGCTATTACTTTATCCTCATGTTATCTAGACATATCCACTTTTTTTTAGTAATGTCAAACATTAATATTTTTGCAAATACATAGTCACTTTATTTCCACATAGGTATTTTATTTTTTAAATTAGACATTTTCAGACACTTTTTGCTGATAACACCAATGCATGCGGGCAGAGAGACACAGGAAGACGGGGCAGGAAGCAGAAAGAGGGGGAGAAAGTGGGGGATRGGAGAAGAGACAATGAAGAGGTTCATTGGCCAAAGACCAAGGCAGAGCATCAGAAAAAAGGGACAATCAGTCAGTAGTTGGTCCAAGCCACAGATTTTAGTCCAGCGTGAAAGGCAGATAGAGGAAGGAGAGGAGGCAGCATTGCCACTTTGTGATCAGTATGAGCATGGCAGCTTTGTAAACAGAACTATTGTGCTTCTCAAGTTGGAACTTTAACATTTTTTGTGCTCATTTTAGAAACTAGGTCTTATTAGACTGTTAGAAAATCTTTACAAAGCACTTGGCAAGGTGTAAACGACATTAGCCTATGGGGGCTTTTTCTTTCTTTCTTTCTTTTTTATGTGCACCTTAAACAAGTTGGTCTGATTCTCCGGCTGCACATTTAATCGTGTGGGTTTTTTATACCAGGTTGTTCTGAAGCATGTTTACCTCTGCATTCTCCCCTGTGTTGTTGGGGGTGTGACCGTGGACAGCAGAGGCGGGACGGTTATTCTCTTGCTTTGGGGAGTGGGAGTTGAGGATGTTCATGGACCCCTCTTCCTTGGGTTGAGGGGACTTTGCTTGGTTGTCCTTCTTCTGGGGGTCATCCTGCAGGGAGAGTGAGTTACTCTTCACACATGCACAAAAAAACAGACACTTATGATGTGTTTAACCACACTATTAATGGAGGACGTTATGGAAAAAGATTGCAACACCCATTACTTTTCTAACATTAAAAAAACACTCTGTGCACCATGTTCCTGCAGCTCTTTGTAGCCTCTAGACCTGACATTTAGAGCATCCGGCAGTTACTGAAACTCATCTATAATCGCTGCAGGGGAATGTTAGCACAGCTCTGATAGCAGACAATACATTAAAATAAGATGTTCACTAACATGTTGGGGAATGAACTTATAATAGGCATATTTTTATATATCTGCTGGCATGTGCTTAAATTTGCAGATTTGAGCTGAACGTGGTAACGTTGGTCCATGTTTGTGTCGTTGTCCAGTTATTGAGTTTATTGYCTTTATTTATATGTAGATGTTGGAGCCATTAGATTATTGGTGTGTCACAGATATCTGAAGGTCACAACGCAGCAGGCAGAAAATGGGCCACCATTGATCAATCGCACTGGCTGCTGATGGGCAAATTTCACTCAATGAGCTTTCACATGACAGATTTCAGCATTTTAAACATTAAAATCTGCCTTTTCTACATTTCAACATCTGAGACTTTAACAACAATTTAACTAAACTTAATAAGTGTGTTGGTTTGTACAACAAAAGGTCAGTAATATTGATACGGTACAAGGGTGCACATAAATCTGCCAGCACACCCCCACTCTGACAGTAATAAACGCGGTGCCATTTTACAYACACTTGCATGCTGCTACAGCGCAGCTCACTTCTAAGCAGCACCGCATGCAGAACCTGTAAAAGAAGAGCTGCAGGGACCGAAAATGGCTGAACGGGCTGCATAAGTAGAGAACACGCGGACAAAATGGAGGCCCATCTGCCTCACCGAGCTCCTCAGGAAGCTGCAGAGTCGCAGGAAGGAGAATCAAAAACGGATGTTTAATCACACGGCTGTGATTGCACAATGTGTCTGAACAAATGGCTGCAGGAAGCCTCGGGAGAGGAGAGGTCATCAATCATTTCACTTGGAAGGGGCATCGATCAGATGCGAGACATTTGAAGTTTTTTTTTAACTGAAAATGAAAGGTTAAAATCTGGCACCAAGCATTTAYACTGTAGTTGGGGTTAAAGAGAAGAGTTTTATCACCTTTGCAAGTTGAAATACATTAAGCTGTTTTTCCAGCTAACAAGGAGACAGAATGAGAAGGGGAGAAAACAAGAGGGATCCAACACAAACAGATGCAAACAAAGAGAAAAAAACAGACTTTTGAGTGAGAAGCACAAACACGAGGAGAGCAGGGGCATACCTGACAGATAATGTTGTCATAGTACGCCAGGTTGTGAGTATGAGTTTGAGGAGCGGGCGGAGGGGTGTCACACAGTTTCCTTACATTTGGCTGCGAACCATCAGCTGTTGTTGAAACCGAGAGCCCGTCCGTCTGTGGCTCGCTGTTCTGTGGGCGGTACTTACTGCAGGAAGCAGAGAGGGAGATTCGTGTGATATAAATATTTGCAGTAGCCTGTCTGTTTTCCACATGAATCACAGCACAAGTACATTCCCTGCAGTCCAAACGGAGACTTGGCCTACCTTTTCAATAAATTCAAAACTTCACCACTCAAAAACAACATTTCACATTGGCAGCCGYACCCACCTGCGTTTTCGAAGGCGTGTGTTCTCGCTCTTGAGGCGGTACAGGCTCTTGGCAAAGAACACGATGATCATGAAGAGCAGGAGGAACACAAACGAGGCCACGGCCACCACCACACACAACACCTGGAACTCTGTGACGGCCCATTCGCAGCGCAGGCCTTTGTTCCAGATGTAGTCCTGCACATTACACCTGGGTGCAAAGACATGGAGACACGGGAGACGACGGGGGGACAAACGTAGGACAAACTGGTTTTAGTTTGGTGAAAATTACTTTTTATTTTAAGAAAAAGTCAAGATATTTAGCTCAAATGTGTGCACCGCCGTTGTGTTCTTTTCGTGACTTTAGAGCACATCCAATGACGTTGGGGCATTGTGTACAACATAAATAAAAACTTAATCCAGTGAYTTGCAAATCCTTTTCAACCTATTCAATTGAATACACTACAAAGACAAGATATTTAATGTTCAAACAGATAAACTTTCTTGGTATTTTTTTTGCAAATGTTCACTCATTTTGAATTTAATGCCTGCAACTTGTTCCAAAAAAGCTGGGACATTGAAACTGGGCTTGTATTTTGTGCAAACAGCTGCCTAGTCGAGTATGTCTGTGACGTTACAGCAGGTAGGTTGACACGAGCAACAGTTTGCCTCAAAGCTTGCAGAGAAGCTGCCGGACTGGACAGATGGTTGCAAGTCAAGAGTCCAGTCGTTGTTGTGTTGTCTGGATGCTGCATGATTGTGCAGAAGCGTTGTGTCTATCTACCAATGTGTCTTTTTGCTTTGCCTAAAYTTACAGTGTTGTTTTTGCTCAGTCTTTCTGCATGTGCCTGCTGGGTGTCTAGCAGCAGGCGACAACCACATGATTTCTTTACCTCCTAAAAACTGAGCTAATCCTCTGGGGATCCTGCTGTGATCTTGACAAGCTCTCATGACACAACAAGGCAGCCTTCTGTGTTTGTTCCCTGTGTGTTTGTGTGTCTGTGGTGTCCTGAATCTTACCTTTTTGTAATGGAGGATAAATATGTTAAAATGATCACCAAAGGCAAATTRAAAAGGATGTTTTTAGTGTCAAATRCTCCAGCGGTTAATCAGACAGAGTTAGTAAGTGTCTTACCGGCAGAAGGCTCCTGCCCCTGCTACCACTGTGCACACCCCTCCGTTGAAGCAGAAATTGGGATCGTTGTCACACTCTGAAACACAAATTCCAGGTCCAGATAGCTTAAAGCCCAGCCTGCAACCATCAGCACCCATGGCGCCGCCCACACCCAGCTCCTCTTCTCTGTCTGCGCCCAGCATGGGGGGACCTGGTAAGGATGACGCRCTGTCCATGTTTGGCTTTGCGTTCTTAGGTTTAGAAGTGGAACCAAACAGGARTGGATTCTCATCCTCCATGTCAGCTGGGGGGGAAGGGGTGGGCTCGGGTTCTGGGGTTGTATCTACTGCCGAGACCTCGTTGTCAGGAGACAGGTAGTCGTACAAATCAGCCAGCATCCACGGAGCGGTGGGGTTTCCACCTTTCTGCTTTTGGGGTTTGGGGGCTTTCGCCCAATCCAGAGCCTCATCGGAGGGCACAACGTCTGGCGCAGGACTGTGAAACTCCACCTTGATGATGTCATCGGATAAAGGGTTCCCGGGTTGGTCTGGCCCAGCCCCTCCAGCGGTTAGCTCCTCTGCCACAGGCTGATCTTCCTCAACCAAATCGAGATAGTGGCGCTTATGAGAGTGATGGTGTCGGGTGTGTCCTGCTCCAATCAGGTGCTCTCTCTCTGCTGAGTCATCACTGAGAACCATCCTGGTCTCCAAGGCCTCTTTGTTGACAGATGAGTGGTTGTGGTGGTGATGGCGTCTGGCTAGAGAATGCCTCCCTGCCAAAGAGACACAAAACAGTTACGGAGCAGGTCAGTGGTTTGGTTTTGCAAAAACCAACTTCATTTCTACAGGTGAGCAAAAAATAATAATGATCCAAGCTGCCAGCTGTAACACCATTATAATTCACTTCCTCGTGAGCTCAGCTGTGTCTCAGAAAAGTGGATGTCATTGCCATAACATTTTGTATGCTAATTTATTCCCTGAAGCTAACTTTGCAGACATAAAATCCTGGTGATGATAGTGAGGTTGTGTCGTATTACAAGGTGACTGCACTGTACTTTTAGCATTAAGAGGATTTCAGAGTATCAGTTTGACAATAAAAAGCTCAAAATGCAAATAACTATCCCAGAAAGGTGTCCTCAGTGTTTCTAAGCTTTGTTATGAGATCATTTACATCACTCTGAACATGATGAGCTGATTATCATGAATTACATCAATTTAGTGATCGACTGCATTTAATATTTAGACAGAAAACCTGCAGTTTGAGAGACTTTCTCTCGTGTCTCATCCACATTTAGATGCTAAAATAAACTGTACTGATTGGTTCTGCTTTGCTGAATGATTTCAGGCCAGGCTGAGGTAAGACTGGATTAAGCACAGTGAGTGGCTGACCATTATGCTCTAATGACTGAGACTTGGTGGGGATTAGATTAGGATTTAGGGCTATTGGTTAGCGGCTAGCCTGCACTTCTGCTCTTTGCAATCTGTGGGAAAAGATGACAGACATATAGAGGGGTAAAGAGGATAAAAACGAACCAAAAAACTKTATGCCAGGGGTGTCCAAAGTGTGGCCAATGGGCCATTTGTGGCCCCTAAACTGATTTTGTGTGGCCCCTGGCTTCAGTTCAAGAATTATACTAATTTCTTTACAAATTGCCCCCCCCCACTCCCAGCACAGGTGTTTGATGTAGAAGGAGACTTTTTATTTATTATTAGGGCAAATTTATCACAAAGTAAAATCTTATAATAAAAAATTGGCAACAATACCAATTGTCTTTAAATAACCAGGCTCTTAGTTTTTTCCACATTTATCTAGTGACTTCTACTCAGAATCTGACTCCAATCTGCTTTTATTTAATTTATTAAATTCATYTGAACACAACAAGCATTTTCAACAAAAGAGTGACSTAAATCCKGATTTYATTGATCAGAATTGACTAAATTGGGTTATTTTTTCCCCAGTTGAAACCTAAAAAATTGCAAAATTTCTTTCAAYAAGGGAATCCTGCAAAACACTTTTAAAGTTCTGGATCTAGATTAATTTACGCATCCATTTCCAGCAATAAATCTGACTACTTTATTTGTTTAAGTAAAGTAGTCAATGCTTAGTTTATTGYTGAGCAGGTAAGGGAAAATATTTKTGGCCCTCAAGTCCTTYTGACTTATGATTTTGKCCCATGTGACAAAATGTTTGGACACCCCTGCTTTATGCAGTCGGACATGATTAAAACCTATGCTCTTAAGACATTTAACAAAACATGGTCTGGTTAATGTTAGAGGTTTCTTTAGGCTAACAATGGTCTCTGAGACTGAGGCACCAATTAAGCAGCCATAAGATTTATAAAAATGTTTTGCATTTTGAGTCAGACAAGAGCAAAAATAAAAGTAGGGCTGGTTTTTTGAAATACTTCTTRCACTTAAAAAAATACTGTAAAACTTGTTTACAAAGAGAGAATCTCATTAGCCATCAGAAGACAGGCATTCAGTAGTTTTATTAGTTTATTACAAATGCTGTTAACAAAAYTTGCATCTGTGACACCCAGCTGTGAAGAGTTGGGGGTGGGGTGGGGGTGTAAAAAAAGGACAGATGTTGCTGTCTGACAGCTTTAATAATAACTATCATGATTAACATTTGGCTGAATGTTTAGAAGCCCACTGCTTTCCTCCGCACRAACCGCCAAACTCGTCCGAAGACTTGGCGGGGTGACATCGCTCCCACTGCCACCCWTCATTCAGAGCTCGGACAAAAACCACTCTGAACGTGCCTCGAGTCATGAAGACTGGCGGTGGCTGAGGAGCCATGAGATCCACCTCACACACACATACACACGCACACACACACACACGCACACACACAYGGGGAGTGCAGTTTCCATGGTGAGATGTAAAGAGGTGCCATGTTGAAAGGAGGAACAGAGCGAGGGAATTGCAGAGCAAACAGAGAATCCAGTGTCCGTGCTCCTTCTCTCTTGTTTTTCAATCAGCCAGCCAGTGACTATTACACACCAGGTCCATCGCTTTAAAAAAAAAAACAAGTTGGAATGAACTTGAAGGCCTCCACCAGCTCAAACTGACRGCACTGACTTCAGATTGAATTTAGAGGTCCAATCTGCCTATTTGTTCATTTGAGACTCATAATATGCTGCATCCTGTTAGCAGCTGTCGCTCTTTGCAGTGATTACAAACACACAAAAAAAGAACATGAAGAGAAGCTGATCAAGCTATGTGACGTGTCTGAGGAAGGGTATGATTTGTGCCTTTTCCTGCGGCTCAGCTCTTAACCTCTGGCGATGCACGGAGCATGTAACCATGGTAACAGGTTCTACCTGAGGTCACTGTGATTGGTTAGGGTGCAGACTCCCAGCAGAACACTGAGGGAACGGTGTGGAAATCCATATTTAGTGTGTAAAAAAGGTCGAAACTATGAGATATTTGAGAGCCTCAGTCAGCTGCAATTAGCTGTAGCTTATCCTCCAACTCCATTGAGTTTTCTAATTGTTAAACTATAAATAGCACTCTGACTGGTGTGTGTCTCTGTGTGTGTGTTGGTGTGAAAGATGCTGATGATCTGATCTACTTTGACATGTGAACTCTTTGACACTGCACAGCAGATGGACCTCACAGTGTGTAGTCCCACAGACATGTGGACACAGACACTCAGTGAACTAAGAAGTCTGGATTTGATCCATAATGTCTTCCAAGAAGTCTGTGTGTTGATGGACCCATTAACCAATTAACTAAATGAATGTTGGAAAAGCAGCTGATTATTGGCTTAAAAAGTGATCATCTCAATGTTGGTCGCCTCTGATGGCAGCAAATCCAAATTCTTTGAGGCTTTTGATCCTTATTGAGGAGAAAATCAAGATGATTGTAAGCTTGTTTTTATTATTATTATT